CTGCTTTCATCGTTTCATCACTTTTGAAAAGATCTCCAACACCGTGGCTGAAATGCAGCCCCGAGCCATGACAGAACCTCCCTCATAGACACTCGCTGGTGTGCCTCTCTCCTGACGTCCTCCTTACACACTGATCACGACTTGAACCAAAAATTTCAAACTGGGATTCATCAGACTCCAGCAGACCAGTTGCCACTGATGTTCAGTCTTTTCTCCCAGTTTCTCATCCTTAAGGCTTCTTGAACGCCTGAGAGCGTTTGTGATGAGGCTTCAGTGAACAGCACGTGGATCACCCGAAGGTCCCGATGCATCTCTCAGGTCCTGTGTCAGATCTTTGATGGATTTTTCCTGTTTCTTAAAGACACGACTTTCAGATATTGTTCATTCACTGTCGATGTTTTGTTTTTCTTTAGACCTGCCACTTCTGCTTTAGTCCTCCACTCGTCCAGTTTCCCTCAATTTTTTAACAACACACTACACATTATACTGTGACATGCCAAGTCTTCAGCTGATAGTTCTTCTGGAATCACCTTGTTGGTGCAAAGATACAATTTTATGTCTGTCGAACTGTGTTACCGTTGGTATTTTTCATAGATTCAACAAAAATGGGAACAAATGATGTGTTTTTGTCGTAGGCTGCAGGTAGCAAAGTGCCTAAAGATACAATTTAAAATGTGTTCTTAGCTAAAATTTTCTTTTATGTTCACACCACCGGTTTATCCTTCGAGTTAGGTACCTCTCTCTGCTTGGATGCTGCTCACGAGCACCTAAAAGGAACAAAGACTGGCTCTTTGGATGTCATATGTCAAGAAATGAGGGGTGGCTTTAAACTTTTGCACAGCATTGTACCTGTACAGAAATGAACCACTGACCCTGGAGAGCAGGTGTTGATGGAGGAGTCCATCTGACAGGTGTTTGGGAGAACACCAGACAAAAAAAGGTTGAACAACCAGTCTGAAAGCGTGGCCAGTTCCTAATGTGGTGACATAACTGTGCAAGAGGACGAACCATCCTGCAACAGTTACTAATGTGTTCATGATTCTTGCCAGGGGTCAGATCAAGTGGCTCTTCTTGTAGATGCGTCGACCCTTTATTCTACCAGGGAAGGCTGACTAAGCACATTAGTTTATTTTCAGAGAACGACCTGCTGTGAACTTGCACAGTTTAAACTCTGTGTTTAAGTAACGCTGTGTGTAGCAGCGCGGCGGCGTGAGCAGAACATCCCTCTAATATTGTATCCCTGTAATATCCTGTCCATTTTCAAAAAGTGAATCTTCAGAGAGGGCATAGAAAAAGTGATTAGCAACAAACTAATAAGAATATAATTTCCATTAAAACTTTGGAATTACAATCAAGCAAAGACACAGGGGGGTTCGTTTAGATGAGAGAAAATACTTCCTCACTAATGAGCAAATGAAACCGTCCTCAAAGTCATAAATGAAGGATTTACTCAGAACCTTTCTTCGTGTAATTGGCTCGTTGGAAACTGGAGCAGAGCCCGTGAGCTCTGCAATGTGTGCATTTTCTGATATAAGATATGAAAACTATCTTCCTCAACTTATGTTTACAGCTTCAACTATGATCTTGTTTATCACAGCAGTAAAAAAAAAAAAATATTGAGTTGGACAAGCTGTTCAAAGCTGTTCATGCCCTCAAGTCAGATCTTCCAGCTGGTGTGGGGATTTAAACCTTCAGTTAGAACAAGCGCCTGTTGGTGCTTCAGGCCACTGCTGCCCCACATGGAGACACGCCCGAGTGTGGGGGGTTTCTCAAAGATCTCTTCTGCCCTCTTCTGGTGAAGAAGTCACACCGCAGCCTGGTGTCAAACTTAGAGGACTGACGGGAGATCAAAGATGGAAGTCTGCTTATGAAATATATTATGATTTGAGGTCTACTCTTTGAAACACTGCATATTTGTGATGATTTGACATGTATTTAAAAAGTTGATTTTATCTGATGTAAACTGATTTTTGGCAACATTCCAAAGAGGCTCTGTGTTTCAGTGTCCACTTTTATGTCGCTCAACATCTGCACAACTTTACATCTATCCTGTTTGTGCTCATCTTACAGAAGGATTAGAAGGAAAAGATTATTCTATTGAGAATTTTATTTTTAAAGACAATGGAGGATATTTAGGTTCAGGCTAGCAGACACTATGTCACACTGGAAGGATGCACTGCAAACACAAAGGAAGGTGATAAAGTGTGTAGATATAGTTAGATGTTGGGGTAGGCTAAATATGAGAATGGAAGAATGAATCTGTTTGTGTACTAAATGGACTGTATGATGTGTCGGTTTTTCATTTTTTTTAGCACTCAAAGCACTTTTTAAACTGCTGCATCCACAGACACACTCATGCACACCCAGATGGATGCATCAGAGGGTATTTGGGATTGAGTGCCCTGCCCAAGGACACTTCAGCATATGGCTGCAGGAGTCTGGGATCAATAGGATCAAAGTGCAGAGGTTTATACAGGAGATGTGACTGAAATGAACAGTATTGTTAAAAAAAGTAATTTCAGACTTCAGCTTCTTCACGGCCATGTTGAGTTTTCAAATGCTTAATGGGCTTCATTACAAAGCTAATTATAAAATAGTATATATACTCATTTTAATAACCGAATGATTCCCTGTAATGTTACGTCATCTATTTACACTATTTACAAACATTTGTGAAAGAATGTGGTTGTTCTAAACAGATCACTGAACGTAAGCGTCTTGTAAAGCAGCGGTCCCCAACCATTTTTGCGCCACGGACCGGTTTATGCCCGACAATATTTTCACAGACCGGCCTTTAATGTGTCGCGGAAAAATACAACAAAACAAAACTAGTACCGAAAAAAAGAAGATTTATTCATAACACACGTGAAAAGACCCAGGAAAACCGAGTTAACGATAAAAACGACAACAAAATCACGCTGAAAACCCTGAAAACCAGACATTTCACACCTGAGCCTCAACTCTCGCGGCCCGGTACCAAACGACTCACGGACCGGTACCGGTCCGAGGCCCAGGGGTTGGGGACCGCTGTTGTAAATGATCATTCGAACAAATCACCATATGACATCTCTTCTCTTCTTCTTGTTCCATGATCAGCTGTAAGTAGTATTATAGCACAATGGAAGCATTCAGGTTACTGAGTCAGCTCTCTGCTGACTCAGTAACTGCAGAGCATGAACATCAGTACAAAGGCTGTGTGTCGGGAGCTTCGTGGCCTGGGTTTGCACAGCTGACCTGTGTCGTGTTTGCTATGGTGATTGGTTTGTTATTTTGGATCGGGATATAACCTGTTATGTCAGGGTGCTCTATGTCACGGTCCTGGGTCGTGTGACCCAGTGTTTGAGTTTTATTGTATTTCATTATTCTTTGGTTTTCTAGTTTCAGTTTAGTTTATTCTACATTCATTTCTACAATGCACAGGTTGCTGTTGTCCTTTGTTTGTGGATCCTTTTGTGTCTTCTCCCCTGTTCTAAGTCTCCCTGCTTCATGTCTCTGTGGTTCAGTTTTGTCTGCTTGCCTCTGTCTGCACTCGGGTCCTCTACTCTCTCCACACAGTCCTGAATGATCAGGCTCCACCGTATCTTAAAAACCTCACACTATTATCTGACTTCACTTTCAGGCTGTTGGCTTATTTGTGTTTCACAGAGTTTCCAAGGGTAGAAAAGGACGGAGAGCCCATAGCTGTTAGTCTGGATTCAGGAGACAGACATGTTCGGCACTTTTAGGCTTCCAGCTCTCCTTTTCTGATGAAGCTTACAGTTGGGGCGGGATCAGTTTTCTTAGTTGCTGCTGCTTGACTCAGACTTCTCACAGTGCACTGAACAGTCCTTCTCTGCAAAATATGCAGTCATGTGACTTTTGTTTACGGTCTTTTGCAGTTTGTGTTTTGTCTGTTTTGGGGTTTTTCTCTCTTTTCTCTGTCCTGACCCCCTGACAAATCGATAGACGGCCCATCACCGAGGCTGGTTCTGCTTAAAATATTTCCCTGTTAAAAGGGAGTTCTTCTTCACCACTGTCTCTAAATGCTGCTCAAGGGTGGGGGTGGGGCTGATCATTGGGGCTTTTTCTCAAACACTGCAGTGTCTTTACAGTACAAAGCATCTTGAGGTGACGGTTGTCTGTTGCACTACTGAATAGATTTGATATCTGTCCTTATCATTTACTCTCTTAACAACCACGAGGTGACTAGCTGCCTGGCACATTTTCAGATACTAGAAGCTAAAATGTTACACATGCATTTTGAGCAAAGAGTTCTTCTATTGTCAGCTTTTCCATTTGGCAAAAGATTCCATAAAAAAGGAGTGGACGGGATCCTGGTGACTCTCACAACTGTTGCCCAGAGCCACAGATGGGGCAGGAGCAACGAGTGCAGAACAAAGTGAAACTAGGCTGCATGAATATGCTTTTTAATGCATAATAAGTTGTGTTTATTTTTGGTTAATTTCAACCCTTAGTAAGTAAAATTAATCTTCCTTTGTTAGTGTTAATGATTGATAAAATTGGGAAGGTTATAAAGGTTACAGCAGAAAAAGACTGAGACTCGGTGACCTTAATCTAACCCTGTAACCTTCAACAGGTCATCGCTGAGCTGAGCGAGGTTAACAGATTTCAAAATCACAAAATTAGGAAACAATAAATTCTTACCTGTGTAGTTTCTGTCATCTGTGGCAGGGAAATAGAAAAAGGACAAAAGAAGAATTGATTACAAATATATTCAGATTTTTATTTTGTTACAATAAAGACTCCAACAGAGTGAGTGGGTAAAAAAAATGTTTTTAACTGAAAGTGTTCAATGTTACTTTGCTCCACTAGGGGGCAGCAATACAACGCCGTAGTTATCCTGTGTAAGGGTCTGGAAGAGGTTTATGCTGAGCAGCAATGCCTGGCTGGAAGTCCCTATTATGTAATAGTATGAACAACACATAGCATATAAAACCCAACAGAAAACCTATAAAACTCATTTAATAAAGGCCCAACACAAACCACTGTCTCAATGCTCTTTCAGTCTATTTGAAGCAATCACACATGTAGGTCAGCATTTCTAAATCTAGACTTTTAGGGATTATACAATAAGGGCCCTACTTTCCAACTGTGCTGATAATTCCTCTTTCATCTCTTTTAATACTACCATTCCCATAGCAACTTTACTCGTTGCCATGCCAACTCCTCTGATAACCAGTTGGCATCTTGTTTCCTTCACTTGTTTGTTTCATCTATGTGTGTGTGTGTGCGCGTGTGTGTTTGTTTCCAAAATCCTCATTTATTTGCACTAATTTGAACAAATCTTTTCCGACAGCGGACACGCCATCTGCTGTAACTGAGAACACTGATGGGCGTCAGTGACATCACTAATACCCACTCAGGCTCTTTATTCCTGACTGTTGTTTCATGTACAGGACGTCATTTGCTTTACCTGCCCGTGCCAACGGTACAGACGACCCTCTGAGGATTTCCACTGTGATTGGCTGCATTATTTATTGCTTAGCAACAGTGCTCCACTGATGGGAGAGCAGGTGTTTGCAATTATCTGTCATCTTTAAAGCCTAATGCTCCTATTTTCGGGAGGCAGACTGAAACCCAAGTGAGCAGTGGTAAAATACTGGGCTACAGCGATTCTGTGGAAGAGACACTCGGGAGAAAATTAAAATATAATACATGCATGCTTGTCCTCACCCCCAGGCCAGAGTATATATCTGTATATTAAAAAAAGTTTCCACCTGGCTCACTGAAAATCAGCAGATTTCTTGGTATAATACCTTTAGTATATTTAATGAATCTCCCAGCCATAATTCAGAAGGAATCATTCAGAAGGAATCCTGGCTAAAAGATTCAAAAGGAATCAAAGAACCGCTGCTACAAGTTGAGCCTGGTATCAAAAAGAAACCTTTCAGATGCTCCAACCAGCGCAGCTACCTTTGCCATGTGATTAGATGACCCTTGAAAGTTTACCCAGAATGCTTTTTAAACTTTTCTTCAGTAAATGACCAGAAAATAAATCAACATCCAGGGTACCGGTGCTTGTTTCTGTTCTTCTACATCACAGACGTTAGTTAAACTGGTGCAGTTTGCTTCTGATATATACGATGCTCATCACTGGTTAGAGAAAAAGCTGTGCTGACGATAACAAACCCATTTGTGGCTGTAAACTTGATGTGGTTGTG